CTTGATGCCGGCTGCCAAATAGACATCGAGCCATTGATCGCTATGCGTTGATCCCGATGATCTAGCCAGCTTTCTATTCACCTTATAGTCCATTCATCCAATCCATAGTTTTTTAACTTGCTGGCAAGAATACTGTGGGAGACCATATCAAAAGCTTCGCTAAAGTCAAGGTGTATCATGTCCACCACTTTCCCCATATCCACAGAGCCAGTTATCTGAAGGTAATCAGATTGGTCAGGCATGACTTGCCCTTGGTGAATCCATGTTGACTGTTCCCGATCACCTTCCTCTCCTCCAAGTGCTTCAAAATGGATTCCTTGAGGATCTGCTCCATGATTTTTCTGGGGACTGAGGTGAGGCTGTAGTTCCCCAGTTTCTCCTTCCCTTTTTTTAAAGATGGGCAGTATATTTGCCTTTTTCCAATCGTCCGGGACGTCCCCCGATCACCACGAGTTTTCAAAGATAATGGCCAATGGCTCTGCATTCACATCAGCCAACTCCCTCAGCACCCTCGGATGCATTGCATCCGGCCTCATAAACTTGTGCATGTCCAGCTTTTCTAAATAGTCCTTAATCTGTTCTTTCACCACTGAGGGCTGCTCACCTCCTCCTCATACTGTGCTGTCCAGTGCAGCAGTCTGGGAGCTGACCTTGTCTGTGAAGACCGAGGAGAAAAAAAAGCATTGAGTACTTCAGCTTTTTCCACATCATCTGTCACTAGGTTGCCTCCCCCATTCAGGAAGGTCAGGGAAAGTGTGGGACCCTTATTCTTGTTGCTAACATATCTGTAGATACCCTTGTTATCCTTCATATCGCTTGCTAGCCGCAACTCCAGTTGTGCTTTGGCCTTCCTGATTTATTTTTATACTCCTCCCTAGTGATCTGTCCAAGTTTCCACTTCTTGTAAGGTTCCTTTTTGTGTTTAAGCTCATCAAAGATTTCTCTGTTAAGCCAAGCTTGTGCCCTGCCATATTTGCTATTCTTTCTGCACATCGGGATGGTTTGTTCCTGCGCCCTCAATAAGGCTTCTTTAAAATACAGCCAACTCTCCTGGATTCCTTTCCTCCTCATATTAGCCACCATATAACATAGTGCTGTAAATGGACACAGACAGCTATAACATAGTGCTGTCTACAGCAGAGGTTAGGTCAGTATAACAGTATCGCTCAGGAGTGTGGACTTTTCACACCCCTGAGTGACATAATTATACCAATGTAAGTTTATAGTGTAGACCTGGCCAGAGACACAAGGTGAGTGAGGTAATATCTTTTATTGCACCAACTTCAGTTGGTGAGAGAGACAAGATGGTCCAATAAAAGATATTACCTCACCAACCGTGTGTCTCTAATACAATACATATAGTCTTTAAAATTATTTATTGATTGAAGCCAATGCTTTCCTGGAAAGATTTTTAAAATCAATACACCTCTACCCTGATATAACGCTGTCCTCGGGAGCCAAAAAATCTTACCGTGTTATAGGTGAAACCGCGTTATATCGAACTTGCTTTGATCCACCGGAGCGCGCAGCCCCGCCCCCCCGCTTTCGGGTTATATCGGGTCGTGTTATATCGGGGTAGAGGTGTATTTTTAAGATATGCAGCTGGTTTACCTGGCAGCCAAAGACTAAAATGTCAAGTGATAAAAATACTGATTTAAAAATCTTTCCAGGAAAGCATTGGCTTAAATCAGTAATTTTAATCACTTGACATTTTAGTCTCTGGCTGCCAGGTAAAGCAGCTGTATATACTCTATACCAAATCCATACTTATCCCAATGGCTGAGGGGGTGGGGGAGACATTCCCTTTAAAGAAAGTCCCCTAACAAGCTATTCTGAGTGGTGCAGGTTATGACCAGTTACCCGGGAGACTGAATTTCTCTCTTTCCTCTGTTTCAGAGTCCCAAGGGCACATTAATAAATGTAGGCAATATATTTTAAATAAATTAATGCATATTGGATAGAGCAAAGCACCACTAGCTACAGTATAATACTGTAACTTAACAAATTGCATTGCTGATAATCAGACGTTCACCAGAGTGGGTGGTACTTGACAAACTTTGGCAACTGCAGCAGAGTTGTGAAACTAGAATTGCCAGTTTTTTTTCCTGTGGTTCAGTGTTGCTTATAAGAAGGCTTTACCGTTTGCATCTCAGTGTGAATTCTCCCTCTCCTCTACATAGATCAAACCAGAAGCAATGCTAGAAAGTTAACAAGAAACACAAACATTCTAAATACAGTGCCCTGGAAAGTCAGAGTTTTAGGGACACACTTTTCCACTCTTTCCAGAGTTCTGTATATACAATGAAACCTTACTACCTTGACTGGGCAGGTAATTGCGAAAGGTAATTGTCAAAGTACTCGATACCCATGAGTCATTTAACAGTCACTAGTGCTGAATATTGCAGAATGATCTAATTTTCTAAATATAACCTAGCATTACAATCTCCACCTGGGTGGGACATAAAATAACAGATGTCCTGCAACACCTTTAAGCATTTTAACATTTGTAAATTTATAGTCCGTGAAATAAAATTGACTAATGTAGGGGCAGTACAGTGTATTTGTGATCAAATATATTTTAATGCTGCTTCAAGGGCTGAAGGGTAAAAAAGGCATCTCCAAAGAGCATACGGATTATGCATATTACCTGTTCCAAAGCATCTATGCCCTTTGAAATGTATTCAGTGAGTATCTTAGAGGTCTCTGCTCAACCACTGAAGTTAATAGATCTAAACTGTTTAGAACTGGGACTATGACTCATGTTTGAACAGTACCAGGCCCATGTTGTTAGACTGCAGGTTCTAGGGGCATGCATATTATGTATGTCGAGTGCTGAGCACCATACATAACCTTAACATTCTGGGACTACAAAGGTCTGAGACACTTTTGGGGACAGCTTAAGTGACTTGCTGTACATACAGTTTTTCAACAGGTATATTTGCACTTTATTCTTCCATGGCAAAGCTAGACGTTATCTTAGAACTCAAATACCTTAATTAAAAAAGGACAGTAATTTTCCATGAGAGAAATATCTAATTTGCCTTTCGGTGTGTGTGTGTGTGTGTGTGGCGGGAGGTGTGGGGTGGGGAAAAAAGGAAAGTTAATATTTACAGTAGTGATATGAAGTAAGGTGGCTGTATTGTGAAGAAATAAAGATACCAACTCCATTCAGTTAAATGTACCGAACTCAAGTTTCAATTCCCACTATGTGAGTGATAATGGATGTAATGCTGTGAAATTGAGATGGTTTACTTCCTCAAAAATGGAGGAAAGGAGTTTGCTAATAAGACACATAATAAAAGTCCTTACGCTTGATTGAACTTTTTTCTGTGTATTTCTGTGAAGTTTATGCAGTCTATTCTAGATTTTACTGACACTTAGGCCTGGTCTACACGGCAGGGGGTGTCGATGTAAGATACGCAACTTCAGCTACGGGAATACCGTAGCTGAAGTCGACATATCTTATTACAACTTACCTCCCGTCCTCATGGCGTGGGAACGACGGCCGCGGCTCTCCCGTCGACTCCGCTACCGCCGCTCGTTCCGGTGGAGTTCCGGAGTCGACGGGGAGCGCGTTTGGGGATCGATATATCGCGTCTTAACGAGACGCGATATATCGATCCCCAATAAATCGATCGCTACCTGCCGATACAGCGGGTAGTCTGGATGTACCCTTAGATGCAATTGCTTGAACTCATTAGCTGGTATGGATCAGTTAAGTGGCTACTTTTGCCAAAAATAATTTCAGTTAGAGGTAAGCTTTGCTTAATTCTCAGGTAATACCTTAATGTGAACCTTTCTTCTTATCATTTTGTCGGGGGCCTCTTTCTCTTCTATTTTGAATGGTGGGTATACTTCCTAAGGGGGATTGACGCTTCCCTATAGTATAGGAATTCTGGTGAAAGCTGGAATTCTCACTATCAGAGCACTTTACCTGTCCTCACAGCGTCTAGCTGGAGAGTCTAGTGGGGTGAAAAGTTGAGGGCAGTTGTGTGTAAATGTGTAGTGACCATGATTTAGAGCATCACTTTCACTTTTTCTACTCTGGGCCAGATTCTAACTAAGGCTGGATGAACCACTCAAATCTTCAGGGAAAAATTCTCAAATCTTAAGGGAAAAATTGAGTGGCGCTTTTGTCCCTTCTGAGGTTTGAAAAGCTAACTGAGCTTATTGTAGACTTTCTTCACTCGACTTTCTCCTTCCAGTTTTTGTCTGGGATTATAAGAATAACAAATGTCACTCTAGAGGGTATTTTGTCATTTCCAAATCTGCTGAAATGAAGTGCTAGAAATCTCACAAGGCCTGTGCTTGACAGATTTCCAGACCGGAGGTTTTGGATATGAATAGAACATTTGGATATTTTAATCTAACCAAGCTGAAGTGAATTTTCTTAGGTTTACCAATGCCCTTCAATAATTTTAGTCTCCATTGTGCAGCATGCACACATGCAGATCATGCTTAGTCAACTGCGGTGCTCATGTATGCACGTGTATACATCAGATTAAGAGAAAACAGATGTACGATGCTTTTTGACAGTGAACATGTTATCTAATTTTGGGGATAAAGATAAGTATGACCAGCATAAAATAGTAAGTGTATAATATTATGCCTCTCTTTCTTCAGAGCCTCTGTTACTTAAGTGTTCAAAAATAAACATACAAATTTTGACAGAGCCCAGTTACCATCTTTTGTTAATATAAATGTTTCCTCTATACATATTCATACAAATACAACAGTCTTTTCTTTAAATGACAGCACAGAAAAACTTTTGAATACAAGTGATAACTATAGGTAAAATGTCTGCATGAAGATGTTATCTACCTGTGTAGCATAACATGTTGTTATGGAAGGTAGGGCCATTACATACATCTGTAAGAACTCATTTGCCACTACAAGTAAAGTCTTACTGCGTCATCTCCTTTATTTCATGCTTCAAGTTAGTGCTTCAAGTTAAATTGTCTGGCATCTATTACATTGTTTGATTATACTTCTCTTCACAGGCTGAAGCAAGGCTCGCAGCAAAGCGAGCAGCACGAGCAGAAGCACGAGAGATCCGAATGAAAGAACTTGAGAGACAGCAGAAGGAGGTACGTGTAAAGTTTTCAGTGGGTGTTTTGATCTTCTCTACCTCCCTCAGAATAGGCTCCAAGGCCCTGGAATTACTAGTGGATCTTCTGTTAGCTGAAATACTAATAGCCCTAGTTGGGCCTCTGATGGTTAAATGGTACTGGGACTAAGATTGTGGATAAAAATGGTCTGAAAATGCAGGGACTGTGCAGCAGCAATGTATCTGGGGATTGGTCCTGCTCTGAGCAGGGGGTTGGACTAGATGACCACCTAAGGTCCCTTCCAACCCTGATAGTCTATGATTAAAAATTTTGGGGGAAGGGATAGCTCAGTGGTTTGAGCACTGGCCTGCTAAACCCAGGGTTGTGAGTTCAATCCTTGAGGGGGCCATTTAGGGATTTGGGGCAAAAATCTGTCTGGGGATTGGTCCTGTTTTGAGCAGGGGGTTGGACTAGATGACCTCCTGAGGTCCCTTCCAACCCTGATATTCTATGATTTGTTCCTCATGAGCCAGTGTAATTATAACTGGAGCATACGTGATTGATTTGTAACTAGGGTTGGATATTTTTTGTTTATAATATAAACGTTGTTGCTTTTTCTAGCAATTGGTTAGAAAACCATCTTGTAAGTATAGAGGAGACACCTCTCTCTACGGTTTATAGCTCTCGCAAAATTAGTACTGATGGGACATTAGTTAATCATCCTTGCAGTAAAGTAAACCAAGCTGTATGACTGTGGTATTGACCTTGTGTGGATTACACCTGTCTTTTTAAGAATGATGATAATCTCAGACTAAGGTCACCATTGGCACAGCTGCTGACTGTAGAAAACTGAGCGCATGAAAATGTCACTCTTCCCCCATGATAAATTGTACCTCTTTACTACCAGCCAAGTCTCTTTAACACCTTAGAAGATTGGCCTTTTTTCTACTGCCAGACAAATAAAGTTGTGCATGGGGGTATGTTAAAATAAAATCTGTAGTCTGCAATATGATGGGATAGCTTAATTTTGGTAATTAATTGATCTTTGACTATTAGCGGTAAATATGCCCAATGGCCTGTGATGGGATGTTAGGTGGGGCGGGATCTGAGTTACTACAGAGAATTCTTTCCAGGGTGTCTGGCTGGTGAGTCTTGCCCACATGCTCAGGGTTTAGCTGATCGCCATATTTGGGGTCGGGAAGGAATTTTCCTCCGGGTCAGATTGGCAGAGGCCCTGGGGGTTTTTCGCCTTCCTCTGCAGCTTGGAGCACGGGTCACTTGCTGGAGGATTCTCTGCACCTTGAAGTCTTTAAACCACGATTTGAGGACTTCAATAGCTCAGACATAGGTTAGGGGTTTGATACAGGAATGGGTGGGTGAGATTCTGTGGCCTGCATTGTGCAGGAGGTCAGACTAGATGATGATAATGGTCCCTTCTGACCTTATAGTCTATTATTCTATGTTAACAATTTTACAGACCTAGGAGACTTGTTCTGCTCGTGTTGAATCTGACAGGTCAAGAGCTGTACTAAATATCAAACTCTCCCTCCCATATTGAGTAATTGAGATCAATATTTGCATCTTGGGGGAATAAAAGCTAGAAGAGGACTGACAGGGCACTATCTGGAACAAACATCTGGATCAGTTACTAGAATTGGCAAGATAGTGCTGTCCAGAGAAGCTTATGCACCCTGTAGGCACGCACATCTAATGAACCAGGCAGATGTTCCTATGGGTGCTGTTATAAGAATTGATTCTTCTAACAAATACAAGCGGATAGGGATGTTAGGGATGAAACAAAGGAAGACTGGGAAATAGCTGCTGGAGAGATATCACTAGCTGAGCAGGATGCTGTTTGAAGAAGTGTCTTTTACTGCTACAGTTGCTTCTTATGATTGAATGGAATGCTCTTTTTGCAGCCTCAGCCAAGCCAAAAGGTTTGCATGGCTGGCAGTGTATTTATATTGTAGAGCCCCCTGCAGTGCCTAAGTCATGAGTAATAGGCTTTCCTAAACAACATTAGAAGAATCCATGGTAAACAAATGACGACACTAGTCAGATAGCAAATGCCCATAGACATTAAAGCAGCCGATAATGATATTACCTTCTAATTTCATAGTAATTACAAGGCAGTTGATGACCTCTTCTCTTCTCTGTTAGACTGAAAACAGATACTACCAACAGCAAACTGGTAAATTGCAACTTAGCAGACTTCAAATAGCTATCAAAACATAAACAGCTCTCTCAAGAGGCTTTGCTCCATTTCCTTGTAGCTAATAAATGAAAACCTACTGAAATGAAACTTTTTGGAAAAACTTCATACGGTATATAAAAGTCCTCTAAAAATCTTCCAAAATTGCCACAAGCTTAATCAAACATACACCTACTATATATTTTGTAATTCTCAGTGGGATAAAATGCATAGTAGTATGTATGTTCTGCATGTTTATTTTATATTTTGCATGCTCAGTATTCAGAAAAACCTAATTCCCGGGCCCATGAGAGGACAGAGCTGGAGAGAGTGGCTACAGATGCTGTTTTATATTGACAAGAGTGTATTACAGACATTAGAAGGTCAGAAGGCATTGTTGTAGCATATATTAAACCACCCGCGAGGAGATTTTTTTTATTTTTAGCATTTAAACCTACCTTGGACGAGAACACTTTGTAGCATCAGTAGTCAGAAGGGCATTTAACCTCTTTTATGACGAGAAAGGAAAAAACTAATCTGTTCCTGAGCTACATGCAGTAAAGCAGTAAAATTCACACAGCTGCCATGCTGAATAACTAAGACTCAATGCACTCATTTTATTTACTGTAGAGGGTTTTGATGGAGGCATTTATAACAGTTAAGGACCAATCAGTTAGTGAATGTGTGTGCACTTTCTCGTGCTTAACGCAATGCACATGGCCTGAGAGATCTGCTTAGGCAGCATGGATCAGTTAAGAAAATATGTACATTGTTAGAGTCCTTATGTTAAAACCTTCCAGATGTTATCACTGCAAGCTAAGTAACTTTTTTTTAGCCTTACAAAAATGACAGTATCACTTTCAGTCACAGTGAGGCAGTGTGGTTTCAATGGGGGACTGGAAATTGGTCCCTCTAGCTCAGGGGCCAACTTTTTGGCCTGGGGACCGCATCGGGTGTCAGAAATTGTATGGAGGGCCGGTTAGGGGAGGCTGTGCCTCCCCAAACAGCCAGGCATGGCCTGGCCCCGCCCCCTATCCGACCTCCCTGCTTCTCACCCCTGACGGCCCCCCCGGACCCCTGCCCCATCCACACCCCCCACTCCCTGTCCCCTGACCACCCCCGGACCCCTCGCCCCTAACTGCCCCCCGCCGCCCCATCCAACCCCCCCTCCTTCCTGACTGTCCCTCCCGGGACCGCTGCCCCATCCAACCACCCCTTCTCCCTGACTGCGCCCGGACCCCCTGCCCCTAACTGCCCCCCACAGCTCCATCCAACACCCCCCTCCTTCCTGACCGCCCCCAAAACCCCTGCCCCTGACTGCCTCCTGCCACCCCATACAACCCCTCCTCTCCTTCCTGACTGCCCCCCCCGACCTCTGCCCGATCCAACCACCCCTTCTCCCTGACCGCCCCCAGAACCCCTGCCCCCATTCAACTCCCCTGTTCCCCGTCCTCTGACCGCCCCGACCCCTATCCACACCCCCGGCCCCTGACCAACCCCCGAACTCCCCTGCCCTCTATCCAACCCCCTCCCCCGCTCCCTGCCCCCTTACCACGCTGCCTGGAGCACCAGTGGTTGGCGGTGCGGCTGCACCAGGACAGGCAGCTGCACCGCCCGGCTGGAGCCAGCCATGCACCGCGCAGCACAGAGCACCGGGTCAGGCCAGGCTCTGTAGCTGTGCTGCCCCGCCCAGAGCGGGCGCAGTGAGCTGAGGCTGTGGGGAAGGGGGAACAGCAGGGGAGGGGCCAGGGGCTAGCTCCCGGGCCTGGAGCTCAGGGGCCGGGGAGAACGGTCCCGTGGGCCGTAGTTTGCCCACCTCTGCTCTAGCTTCTGTTCCTAATTCATCCAACTAGTGCATAACATTAGTGAAGTCTCTCAACCTTTGCTTCATTGTCCCTACTTGTTAAGTGGGGATTTTGCTTCACAGAGATAAAGCTGAGATCTCTGTGTAACATACTTTAATATCAGTGTAGGAAATTTGCTGTATAAAAGCTTAGTATAAATAATATCTATCTAATCCTTAGTTTGAATTTTATTGCATGCAGAATGAACTATGCATTTTTATTACAAGAGCTGACTATTAAAACATGTGTAACCAGGTTCTTCAGACTACTCATATGTAGAGCCTGGAGCCAAAGGCTGGCTCCAGGTATGTAGTGAAAGCTGATCAGTAAATGGGAGAAATAGATGGTGGAGGGCCAAATTCCAACCTCTCCTTTGGCAGAATTTACTTGCATTCCATGGATACAATTGAGGGCAAAAATTGGTGTATAGTTACAAATTCCTTCTCTTTACCTAGAGGCTAAAAATATCCTTTTTAGTCATTTCTTCCATCCACAGTTTTTTTCTTTTAAAGAAATGTGTGAACCATGATGTATATTGCACCTTACTTCGGGCATGCTTATTGTTGCTTGTGTGGGTTAAGCTCATTTGGCTGCCTATACAACACTGTTTTATTTTGTAGGTCCTCCTGATGAATCCAGAATTTTCTGTGTGCAGTAATGATAAATTTACCAAGTTATTTTAGTGAAAACTACAAAACAATTGTACAATAATTCCACTAGAAACAATTGTAACTGCACAACAGCCTCCTGATTAATGTTTGCAGTAGAGTAGAATTAATGTTACGAATTAATTCTTAATTCTGTCTTTTAAAAGCAGACCTGAGTTCAGCTCCTGGTGACCCCTCCAGTGGGGCAATTTAACATTCACAGCTGTGGCAGATAGAACAGAAAAAAGGGCAGAATCTCTCCACTTGGAGTGATGAGGATAGAACAAGGTTTGGCTAATTTGAGGGGTAAAGTGAGTGGGCATGGCATGGCATGAGACAAGGGAGGGAGGGGAAAGG